CAAAAGAAGACGTCGTTTTCAATTAGTTTCGACGTCTAATAATTTTATGACGTCGGTTTGTGATGTTTAACGTCGTTGTACAAGGATACAACGTCGGATAGGTCATTTTTCATTTAATTTTTAATGACTTTTATATTTTATTTAATTCCATATTAAATTCAAAACTAAATCCAAAAATTAAACTGAAAACTACCAAGCAAAAACTACCAAGCACTCATTGAAATATTGTCTCTATCCTAAAGCTTTAAAAAATATAATTTTAGAAATATTTTTTTTATTGTATTTAATTACTAATATTAATAATATATTCAAAGCAAAATCCGAAAAATATACCGGCAAATTCTATGCACTGATTGAGACAATATCTTGCCCGTTATTGCCTGAAAAATGTAATTTTAGTTTTGAAAGTTCAAATGATAACAAAATTCAAACAAATTTAGAGACAAAGCATGGTACTCCTTATACTTTACATAACATAACCCTAAAGTTTATGTGATCCATTGGTGCCCATAAATTCAAAATTATGAAATCCATATTTTAGCCTACTATTGTAGAAGGCATTGTTGTAAGGAGTCCATAGCAATTTTCGGTTCATTTTTCTCATACTTGTGTATTTTTTTAAAATTATTGTAAAATTTAGGGTTTAGGGTTTAGGGTTTAGGGTTTTGGGTTTTGGTCAACTACATAAACCAAGACTAATTGTATTCGGTTTACGACGTCGGTTATTAAATAGCGACGTCCGTTATGTGTACAACGTCGTTTTTGTATAGAAACCGCCGTTGTAAGTATGCATTAGACGTCAATATAAGTATTGACCGTCGTCGTTGAAAAACGCGGTACTTTAAAATTTTTGACCACGACCTAAAATTTTCAGAATTTCCCTTTAAGCCTCAAATAGTTCATTCTCTCTCTTCAACATAAATTTGTCTGAAAGTTTTCGCTCTCTCTCAAGCAGTTGTTATGTTCTCCCAGCTCTCTCTCAATATCCATGTAAGTACAACCCTAGTCCCTTTAACCCTAATCTCTTCTTAAATCCATAAATGTTTTCGTTGGTAGCTATGGGTTCTTAATTGGTAGCTATATTAGGGTTCTTTTATGTTTTGGTGTTTGCATTCTTGTGATAATTGCTCTCTGTTTGGGTTCTTTTATGTTTGTTTGGCCATGGGTTCTTGGAAAAGGAATGGGGATGGGAGATTTAAGCTATTTTTTTTTTTAACTACGACGACGGTTGACGGATCAATTCCACTGCTTCAAAGGTTCCACCAAACTAATAGATTTTTCTAAAATAGAGCCAGTCCCATTTTCCCATTAAGGAGTAATAAAATCCTGGAATTGGGCATGTTTTAACCATATATATTCAAATCTAAACGGTCTCCTATTAGAACAGGAATTAAGTCGAGAGACTTGAGGCAAATTTTGATAGGGCAATGATCCGATTTAGTTCTTGGAAGATGTTGAACAAGGCATCAACAAAGTATTGTCTCCATTGAGTGTTATAGACATCTCTATCAAATCTTTCAAAAACTCTTTTGTTGCTCCAAGTATATTTAGGCCCAGAGTAGCCTAAGTCAATCATGTCATTCTCATCAAACCACTTTTTAAAACCCTTTCGTGTACTAAGAGGAGCTCCCCCCCAACTTTATCATCAAGCTGGAGCATGTCATTGTAATCACTAGCAATAAGCCAAGGCATTTGATGGCAACTTGCAACAAAATTTAAATAATCCCACAGTTTTCCCTTTTAGCATCACAAGGGCTAGCATAAGCAGCAGAAAAAAGCCAAGAAGATTTACCAGGTCGAGACACATAAGCAGTAATGGTTTGGTCCAAGGTGCCAAGAATCTCTACTTTAATTTTATTAGTATTCCACAAAAGCCACAAGCCACCAGAGAAGCCAGCAGGGTTTACCACCTCAAAGTCAGTAAAGCCTACGGATTTAATTATTTTAAGAGCCTTGTTCCCACCAATCCTAGGTTCACAAATAAACAAGAGATCGATACGATGTAGCTTAATTATCTCCTGCAGATTAACTTTGAATTTGGTGCTAGCAGCACCTCTAGCATTCCAACATAAAATATCCATAAAATGGGATGAAAAGAAGAAATCACACGGGGCAAACCCCACATATCAATGGCCTAAAGGCATACCTTCCATCTGGCTGGAAGTATGATTTGCTCTGGCCTCCCCAATTGAGAGCATCTGACCTTCAGAAATGTCCATTCCTTCCACTTGACACAGACCTTTAGTGGCAGTAGAGACCAAAGGCTCATCATCGTTATTAGCGTCACTCTCCTCTGCTCGCATGTTATCTCCAGGGTCTATGCTTGGGGGCTGATGGCCAAAAATAAAACCATCCATTGGCTTGTCCCTCACCCAAGATGCCATTCGATCACTCATCGAGTCTATTGAGTATGCCTTTTATCGCCATTCATCCCATAACTTTTACTTGAGGTCCCAATTTGGGCAACACCCCTGACTTTCATTGTGCGTTGATTAGTATTTGCCCCTTTAGAGCGAGAATCCTTCCCCTGATTCGTAGTATACTCTCAAACAGTTCGAGTCCCCCATTTAGGGGCCTTTGACTTAGTCCACACCTTCTTCCCAGAGTCAGGATTATTCAAACCATTAGTCTTAGGTTCAGTGGTGGCAATGTCAACCTCTTCAATAATATCTGTCCCAGTATCTTCTCCAATATGTCTGAGCGCATCAAAACGAGAACCTTGGTTCTTTAAACCATTACTTTGTTCACCCAAACCTTTGTGGCCATTCTTAGGTTTCCTTCTAGGTGGGACATTCATCCATGGTCCCCTTAAGTTATCAACATCATTCTCAACATTCACATATTCCATATTAGTATCTGGTCACATTTGATTTGGACCTTTCCCAGCCTATTGATACTCAGTAATGTTGGCAGGAAGTTTCTCTCTCTGTCTACAATTTTCACGCTTATGCCCATATAGTCCACAATGATAACAAATGTCCGGTAGCCCTTTATACTCAATATTATACCAAACTTGATTTATCTGGACAAAGGCACCAAAGGTTTGGTTAAATCAATTTCAATACATAGTCTTTACCTCTGTTTTGGCTAGTAGTGAAGGCATCAATTTTCAGCAATTTTTCCAATAAGTTTCCAATTCTCTTGAACGCGCAGACATCAAAGCACTCTAATTGAATGGCAGAAACTCTGATACACTCTAATTGAATAGCAGAAACTCTGATACATACTGCCATTCGGGAGATGTGTGCAGTGGTCGGGCGAAAGCCAGGACGCCATTTTTGAAGAGTTAGGTACTGTCCACTGATAACCCAAGGTCCTTCCGTAAGCACATGGTTCATATCCTCTTCCAAATCAAACTTGGCCACAAAATAATCACTCACAAGGTCGACAAGTTTCCAACCACCCTTTAGGCACCACTTTTGCTGCAATCGATCGTGAATATAGTTGTAGGTGTGAGAACGACCCAAGCAATTTAGGATCAAAGCATTCTTCCACAGTTGGTAGAGTCGGTTCATTGCTTGCTCGAAAAATTGTATGCTTGGTCCTCTATCACCATGCAAAGTCACCACATCCTCATCATCATTGAGATCTGCATAATCGGTATCCAGCGACTCCACCTCAATAGCACAATTTTTAACTAGGTTCAGCTTGTTCATGAGCTTATCTCGGAAGCTTCCTGATGCGATGACTGGAGTTATATTGGGTACTGGTTCAGTTTCAATCACCGGGTAAGCCATCGTTGCAGGCGCACATTGACACTACGTTTCCGGTTCCTCTGATGTACGCGTAAGCTTAGTGAAGCGATGAATTGTCGAGCCACCGCCGGGAGAGCCTTCCGCCGTGGCAAAGGAGAGTTAAGCACTTCCCTAAACCCTAGAGTTAGCACCGCCCCTAAACCCTAGTTTTTTACGCAAGGAAAGTTTTCCTTCTTCAGTGGATGAGTTTTATTTTGCCCATTTATTTGGTCAATTGATTGAGACCACTGACATATGGGATATTATCTTTATATGGGACTATAATCACCAATTAAAGAGAATATCATCAATTTAGGATGTTATCTTATTTTGGAGATATTATCATCAATTAGTGATTGATTCTAATCAAAATCCCTAATTGACTCAATCTCTCCATTTAAGGGAAATAATAGATGACTAGAGCCCTATAAATACACAGCCACATCCAACACACAAGGTAATTTCAAAACCCTACGAAAAACCCCTCTCTCTCCTTGCCATTGCCCCTCTCATCTCTCTCTCTCTCCCACACGGCTAAGTGCCACCACACACGGTTTTGGCCACCCGGCTCTCCCCGTGAGAGAAAACTTCGTCCATTTAGCTATTGTCACATCTTTTCTCAAAGATCTTATCGAACTAACTTAGGAATCAGAGTGCCTTTGGGTGTGGTCTTTTATTGCTATTTGTTTCGCAAGAACCGAGGAAGGAGAGAAGGAAGCTCGAAGGGTAAACCCTAAACCCTATGAATCTACATGTGAATATTCTCCCGTGAGAAAACCAAAGCTCCAGCCACATTACGATTCTTTGCAAAGGATTTGGACCCAGGGGCGGGGCTATGTAAAGGGCAGGCTGGGTGCCTGCCCAGCCCAAAATTTTTCAAAAAAAAAAAAACCTATATGTTATAAGCCCAGCCCAAAAATAAAAAGAATTAAAAACAAACCCTACCCATATGTTGCCCATCCATGTGGTCCCATTTTTTCTCTCCTATAGTTTTAATTTAAAATTGAGTATTCTAGGGTTTAATTAGGGATGAATTATAATTTTGAGATTTTGTTGAAATCAATTAGGGCTTTGATTAGGGATGAATTATTTTAAAGCTTTGATTTGAGATTTTGTTAAAATTGAGTATTCTAGGGTTTAATTATGGATGAATTATAATTCTTGGTTTGGTTTTGTTGAGATGCTATTATGACAATTTGTTTGATTTTTTGTTGGTATGTTTGATTAAAATTCTTTCTAAATATTATTCATAGGCTATCTTTTATCATGTCGGATCACAATCGGAATCCCAAGAGAACAAAGAATTTTTTGTCTTTTTTTAAGAAAAAGAATGATGGGTCATCATCTAGTACATTGCCTTCTAGCACTTCTTTATCTACTCCAATATGTGATGAGCAAAATCTTCCTGAGTCACCCATTGTTGAGCCTCCAATTGAAAGAGTTGAATCTCAAAGAGTCGATGATGATCATGATTTTAATATCAATTATCTTGAGCGTGATCCAAGATTACGTCGTTTAATATGCAAATATCCGGTGAATGAACAAGATAATGTGCGAAGAGCATATATTCTTTTAGGACCATGCCAACCCGAGTTAGAAGATTATCCAAGTCACTTAGAAGGGCGGGACTTTCGTCGATTTAATAAAGAGTGGTTTGGCCAATTCACTTGGCTTGAGTATTCAGTTGCTAAGAATAAGGTATTTTGTTTTCCTTGCTTCCTTTTTGATATGAATCAGTCACACCCAACCTTTATTGTTGATGGGTATCAAAAATGGAAGATAATTGGTGGGAATCAATGTGCATTTCAACATCATGTGGGCAAGCTAAATTCACCACATCATCTTGCTATGCAAAAGTGGATTAGCTTAAAAAACCCATCTCTTCATATTGAAAAAGTGGTAGATAAGCAATCAAAGCAACAAGTGATGGACAATCGGTTGCGACTTACTACCACAATTGAGAGCATTAGGTATCTAGCAAATCAAGCATTGGCTTTTCGAGGCCACGATGAATCCGTTGACTCATCTAATCGGGGCAACTTCATTGAAATAGTAAAGTCTTTTGCAAGAATGAATATAGAAGTTGAGACAGTTGTCCTAGATAAGGCTCCTCAAAATGCTCAGTACATTTCCAATGACATACAAAAACAAATCTTGCATATTTTTGCTACCAAGGTGAGGAAGACAATTTGTAGAGAACTTGGGAAGAACAAATTTTGTATTCTTGTTGATGAATCACTTGATGAATCCGGTAAAGAACAAATGGCTATTATTCTAAGATTTGTTGATTGTGATGGATTTATTCGTGAGCGCTTTTTCGATATTGTGAGTGTTGCAGACACTAATGCCTTGACTCTTAAAAATGAGATATGCAAACACTACTAAAAAAAGGCAAAAGACGACGGGATTTCACCATTGTGTATTGGGTTTTCAAACCGTCGTAAAATCGACCGACATCTTTTGCAAAGTAAAACCACGACGGGAAATCACCGTCGTTGTTATACCAAACAACGTCATTAACAAAAAACAACCGACGTCTGTATACTTAAAAATGAGCCAAAAAATTGTCATGGAGAAGAATAGACGACCTATTTTATAAAAAGACGTCGTGTAAAGAAATACGATACGTCTTTAAATAAATAAAATACGACGTTATTTAAAAATACGACGTCCAATATATTTATATACCCGTTGTGAAATAGTTTTTCCACTTCGTTTTTTTCCATTAATATTGACGTGGAAATAGCGTTGAGGGTAAATCACCGTCGTTGTTATCACAAACAACGTCATTAACAAAAAACAAACGACGTCTGTATACTGAAAAATAAGCCAAAAAATTGTCAGGGATAAGAATAGACGACCTATTTTATACAAACTCCGTCGTCTAAATATATACACTACGTCATTAAATAAATAAAATACGACGTTATTAAATTATACTACGTCCCGTCTATTTATATAAACCGTCGGGAAATTGTTTTTCCACTTCATTGTATATGAAATAAACGACGTGGAAAATATGTAAGGCTCTTGACTTACGACATATTTATTTTTATAAACGATGTAGTATTTTATATACAACGTCGTCATCATGTAAAAGACAGCCGTGTTTCTCTTTTTATACGTCGTCTTTACCAAAATAATGGTCGTGTAATCTATTTGACACGGCGAAGTTTTTCAGTCAATCGCCGTGGAAAATATATTTAACGACATAAGAATAAAAAAGAGACGTGGATATTCTCATATAACGTTATTTTTGTAAAAGAATGACGTCCAAATATCTTTTTACGTCGACAAATTTACCTCTGGATTTGAAATTACGTCGTGAATTATTTATTTTTCACTTCATTTTTTATATAAAAAGCGACGTGGTAAACGGTAAAATTTTAAGACGACGATTTTTGATTTGTTACGGACGAGTTCATGCTCTAAGACGTCGTCTTTTGTAACGTTCAAGTTCGATATATGTCCTTTTAGACGTCGGTATTATGGTACTAGAGTCGTGTTATTTGTAATTACATGTCGGCTCTTTATGCTTCTCCGACGGGATATCGTTAATAACTGTTTCACAATACCGTCGTCTTTCTTCAATTTTACTGCGCTTTTAGACGTCGGTAAGTACAATGCCGTCGTTGAATACTCCAAAACGTCATTTTTTATTGATAATTTTATGAAAACAGACGTCTGTTTTTCACAGATTTATGAGGACCGTCGTTTTATAATACTGAACCAGTATTTTATGTACTGATTGTTTTGTAGCCAAAACCTGCATAATGAAAGTGAAGAAAACACATTACAATTTATTACAAAATTAATGTCATACAGTA